GGGCTTTTGTTTTCCCCTTCAACTGCCTCCTGCATCCCCCACCCCCAGGGTAATAATGTTCCTCCTCCTTCTCCCCCCCCTCACTGATTGAAACACCAGCCTCAGCACCTGGGGGTGAAATTAAGCAGCTGATTGGGGTTGGCTGGAGAGGTTGAACTATGGTTTTTTTTTTTGCAGCTGTGTTGTAGCAATAACGAGCTTGGCATCACCCCTCACATCAGCGCGATGGAAAGCAGGGTCTAGTCACTAGGTCAGCCTTATTTCTATAGTAAAAAAAAAAAATAAAATAAATTTACCTGACTTGTGTTTTCTTCAGGATAAGGCTCACAAATCCCCCCCGAGCCTGGTGGTCAAGATCATTTTTGCAAAGCACAAGGACCAAAAGCAAACCAAACCCTAAGAGGGGGCTGCAGTTCCAGGCAAACGAAACGAAAGGCAAGAGGGATAAACCTAGAAATAACCATAGTTAGGGCTGCCAAGGGCAGTAACAGAGGGCTGCCAAGCAAAGTGCCAACACTTTTCAGTGCCTTGCTTGGAAGACCCATCCTCAGGTTTTAGCTCCATCCCCCAGAACAGAGCCCGACCCCAAATCCAGCCCCCAGGGTTAAAGGAAACAGCAGTTTGGTCAAAACGGTGTTTCTCAAACTAGTCCCCCTACTTGAATTCCTAAACAATGCCCTTGCATAGCTGGAAGCATCCAAAACAGAATGACATTCAAAATATTAAGAAGAGATAGAGTAACATTTTAAAGAAATGACTTTAATACTATAACCCATACACATGGACTGCTTTAAATAAAAAGAAAAATTAGAATGCCAAACCTTAAAGCGTATCCCACCATGACTTTTATCTAACCATGTTTCCTGTAATCTGAAATTTTAGTCAGTACTAATGACGGATGGGCGCAGAAAGTGAAGAAAGATTAACTGAATGGGATGAAAGGCAGAAAAAGAGAATATTTCTGAAGATTGTTTCCTCCCACAGTACAAATTTAACAAGTGTTTTCAAGTTTAGTTTAATTAAGCTATAATTACCTTCTGTGGAAGTGCTGGTGAGACGACTGCTGCACAGCTGGAATAACACAGTGTAATTACTCACCAACCCCAATTAAACAAACAACAAAAAAAAAAGTCTTTTGAGATGTTTCTACCAATAGCAAGAACAGTTTAAGTATTACTAAGCAGTATTTTAGCAGGTTTTTTGAGTATCTATCTGCTACCTCATGGGTAAAAAAAAAAAAAGAAGCTGCCGCAGGACACACACATCAACTAACACAGCCAGCATTGCATTTCTCCGATTTAAAAAGCTACACTGAACACAGAATACCATGCATATACAGATATTACCAACTATTCTGAAATAACTGCTCTTCAGTACAAGGGCATTACCAGCTTACCCTAAAAAAGTTTTCCTCTAGCTAAATAAATGCTATAAAAAACAAAACAAAAAAGGTGAATTCGTTGGCTTTATCAACACAGAGGAAAGTGTGTCAACTATAGCGTTCACTCTGGAACCGGGGCGCATAGTTTCTGGCACTTTCATTCTCCTGTGTTGTGATTAAGTCTATAATAGCTGTCAGTACTGCTGTATCCCTGGATTTAATATCATTCCAGTCCACAGGATGTGGGTTTTCTATTTTTTCTTGTAGAAGATCATCGAGCTCTTGTCTTAAATTCTGGAAGCAGTTTGTTGGAATAAAGAAAAAAAAGAAGAAAAAAAAAAAAGAGACAGGCAATTAGAGCTACACACAGCAACGTTACTACAGTAAGTTCAAATCCCTTGAGCCCTCTGTTCTCCCCGTCTTTGCACCTGCTGTTCCCCTATCAATTCACTTCAACATCGCTATTTTCAGGACCAAATGCTGCTTCTCAAAAGGTAACAGTTTTAGTTTCAATGACAGGTGACAATCTCTGCATGTGACAGCCTTTAACAGCCTATACATCCCATGAGCTCACTGCTTCAGGATTAAAAATATTTGGGTTTAAAAAAAAAAAAAAAGAGTCAGATATGATTTCTATGATCTAATATTAAATAGAGCCCAATTCAGCTCCTCCTTCCACTGGAGCCCTACGGCTAGCTCAAGAGGCCCTTCCTCATGTTTCCACATCCACACGGACATTTCACGCACTAAGTCATCCTACAGCTTTCGCTATGGAAGACTACAGAGATTAAGCTCTTCAGATCTCTCACTGTAAGACAAGGTTATAAATCCTTTAAATCCACCCTATGACTCTTCTCTGAAGCTTCTACAGTTTTTCAATATCCCCGTGAATTTTTCGGCAGAGGCTGCACCAGCTGGGCAAGAACATCACCGCCACATTCCCGAGAGGCACACGGCCTCCTTCTCTTCATTCAAGGGATCACATTGGAAACAAAAAACCCCAAATAAATCCGAGTGACTGCTCCTAAGGCCAAACATAAGGGAGTACATTACTGTTTACTTCCACCCAGCTTACAGACTGTTCAGAATGCTGACTACTGCGTTTTAACCTGCCTTCATCCACACACCTTCAGATCTCCTTTGTTTACCTTGTGTACTTGAACTGCTCACTGAGAATAAATTTAACACACTACCATCTCCCTCTAGCGACCAATCAGCAGGTAAAGTCACAGCAAATACAGAGGTCTGAGCAGAATCAGTGTTACACTAAGCCTTCCATATACATTATTATCAAACACAGCCACCTTAACCAAGTGCGCTATCCTTGCCGGAGACTGGAAAACAATCCACTCGTCCACAGCGATGGTATCCTGATCTTTGTCCTTCTGAATGGATATATCTCCTCCGAAGAACAAGAGGCAGTATGGAGAGACCTCTGTGCAATCGTACAAGTAAATCTGCAAGAAGACAAAACTGTCCAATCACCCTTCGAAACATCTTACGTGACATGAGCAACCCCCAGTGAAACTCGTAACAGATCCCACAAGATCATTATGCAGCGTCACGCATCAATCTGCAACACACATATGAAGCAACCCAGTTGCAAAAGTTACACGAAATCAGATTGAACAGGAACAGAACGGTTCCAAATACAGTCCTTCAGTCCCAAATACAGTCCTTCACACAAGGTGGTGAAATCAAATGAACTACCCCGTAACAATCGGAGAAAAAAACCAAACAACTAACATTTGAGCATATTCAGAAGTGTTACACTAGATTGAAATGGAAAAAAAAAATGATACCTGTTATTGCCAGAACCTTAACCCCCACCCCAAAAAAAAAACCACCAGCCCAGAATTTAGTTTTTTGTGGAGCACCACCACCAGTATCACCAAGACACAATCTGAGAGCATGTAAAAGGAATGACCCAAGACAGGAAGGCTTCGAAACAAAGGCACTGTTCACATCCCCTCTGAACCTTGATCCAATCTTATTAAAGGGCTACAAAAATAAATGACACAACTATAAACTTTCACATACACTGCTAGTTCTCATCTTCAAATGGTACACGAGCCAGTTATAATGGAACTCTGTTTCTTCCACATTAACTGATTTAGGATGAATATTAACTGTTCCATCTGTCTTGGTGCAAACTTTCACCCTTAAAAAAAAAAAAGAACAAGTTTTTATTTTAGGATTGAAATAAGACCTTGAAAGTTTAGCACAATCATGTCCCAAGTGAAACAACCCCTCCGGTTCTCCACTAGCATACTAACTCTGACAGCACAAGGGCATCTGAAGAAACTTTAACTCCTTTCCTGAAAGATTACAACTGAATCTACAGTATGAATTTTCAGACACCTCTCTGCATTTAAGAAGTCTGAATTTTTTATCAAATTAAAAGAAAATGCTGTCATTCTCTCAAGCAGAAAAAACAAGTGGCATTCTTTTTCCAAATGAAGGACTCAGAGTTACCGAATTTGGTTACATATGCCAAGTTTTAAGCAATTTCTTTGGGAAAAACACATAAGGGACTTGGCATATCTTGAATTCTTTGCTCAGTGTCAAGCAGCGTCAGTGTGAAACAAGGGACGAGCTATACCAGTATCGACCAGTCTGGAGTGGTGTAACTCTGTGCGTACCATGTGCCTGTGAAGGCATTTGACTCAAGGGATAACGTTCAGCTGCAGGGGTTATATTGACTCCCTGAAATCCCATTTCCCTTCTAACATAACCAACAGTGCCCTCAGACAGGAAAAAGCAGAAGCCAAGCCCAACAGGGGCGAAGCACGACCGCCCTCCCGCTCCCCGCGGCTCAGGGGTGCAACGCTTCGGGTGCGGGTCACCCAGCTCTCCGCTCCCCGCCTGGGAAGGGCTCTGCAGCTCCCGGTGTTCAGCGTCCCCAAGCTGAAGCGGCGGGCGGCAGAGGCTGGCCAGCACCATCTCTGGCTTAGGGGATCACCAAGCCGGGCCCTCCCGGGCAGCTGGCTGACACCCAGCTCCACCACGCAGCACAGCCTCAGCGACGCCGTAACACGCGCCAGGTTGGCAAGCTTACTGCATCCCCTGGGCGGCTGCAGCACAGGGAATATCAAGGGACTAGCAGTGTCAGCTATGGACTGGTCTAAATTACACCATCTCAAGTCTAATTCTGACTACTCCTTCCATAGAAATAATCACTTGTGAGGTTTTTTGTTTGCTGTGTTAATAATGATTGCTCCCAGCTTGTTGTCCCGACATTACACACCCAGAAAGTTGATGCAGATGTTCAACCCTTCATTCTGCCTTAAATCATGTCCATGAAGGACATCTACATTCTGATGAGTGCACTGTTACTGTCAGTAACAGTTAGTAAGAATAAATAGTCTGATAATATAAGAAGTGATAAATCAACAGACCAGAATTTCTGAGCTCTCTCTTGCCAAATAATAAGAAAGGACAGGGTTTAATTTCAACTGCTGCTGCAGACCAAAGAGGACGGCAGGACTCCTTTAGCAGCACTGTTACTGATAGACTGCAACATCATCCGTGGCACGATCACGTCACACAAATGATTTCACAGACTAGCAGGTACCCAAATGTTAAAAGTAAAGATCAACAATCCACGCTGTCATCTACCCTTCTCAAATTAAGTAACCTACAGCCACGCCTTGAGCTACAGAGATTCACACGTGCCCTCAGCCATTCCTTCACCTCACCAAACTCCCTGATGCAGAAAACCCCTTGAATACAAACCAACATTGAACCAAACCCTCACATTTTCCTCTTTTTGCTGAAGCTTGGCCGGATCTTTGCAACTTTTGGATATAAGCCAGCACAGATGACCGCTTTGAGCAACTTCTCATTGTCTGTAGGAGACAGCAAAGTAAATAACGCAGTTCTGCAAACCGAGGTTTCAGCTACCAGAAATTTTCCATTTCCTTCCACTCTTTACCCGAGTTCGTATTCGATTTGGGATCCTTGGGGTCTCTGCTATTCACAAATCCCGCTGCAAGCAGATGCTCAGCAAACTGTCCTTTCATGTTATGCAGCATCTAGGAAACAACAAAAATTGTCCCGGCGTGATGCTGTGCCAAAAGGCTAGGAGCCCCTTTGCCCCTCCTCTTTTAAAGTCATGATCCTCTCTTTTAAACTGTCAGGATGATACCTGCAGTGTATTTGAAGACAGGAAATATTCCCAGCAATAGTCTTTCTCGGTTCTGAAACCACGGCGCCGAGTCTCTTCCCAGCCCTAAAAATTAAAACCGTAGTTCAAAGGCAGTTTGTAAGTGAACACGTACTAAAAAATGAAGAGCAGCAAAAACTGGAGGTCAACAAACAATATAGTTACGTTTTTCTCTACAAGAGAGAAAGTAAACCCTTTGATCGCTTTGTTTATGTATACGCAGCACAGAGCGGAAAACCACAACTTCACAACATTTTGAATCAAAAACTTCCTTTTTCCATGGTGAGGAGTACAACCTAGCTCAGTTTGCCAGCACTTCCTTTGTGGTTAACAGCCCTGGATAGAAACTGCATTACAGGCCATTTATTTCCTCCTCTTCTCACCCCAACACTATACAGCTAAATCTCCAACACCTCTGAAGTCCACTTCCACCTCTTGTAGAGGCCAGAAGGACAAGAATTAATGACTTCAGCAAGGCAACTATAACATTTTCTTTGTCTCTGTCACCGACTTAGCCACATGAGATTAGGTTATTGAGCCTGAAGACAAGATTCCTCAACACTAGAAGGGTGACAATTAGTTCGGTTTTATGTTTCTGTAGAAGCCAAGAAAGAAATAGGAGAGCATAAAACCGATACGTTCTTTTCCTTGAATAAGACATAGGACTCCAATTAAAATTCTAGAAGAAAACCAACATTAAAACATACATACCGTGAAAGCATTCACCACAGTCAGATGATCACTTTTAGTGTTCTTCGACAGTTCCTTTCTTCTTGCATCTGCGACTTTCTCTTTGCCCTAAGAATAATTAGAACCTATAAAATAGTCATGACTGACACCTCATTAAGGTACACGTATACAGCAAGACTTGTACGCAACATACAGGAAAATTAAAGTTACTGCCACTATTCTGCAGGCAAAGACAGGGCTTCACAGTATGTGAAGGCAAGCTTTTACCAATAAAAACGTGAGTAACATGAAAATAAGATTGAAGTGCTTTTAAACTGTAACATCCCAGTAAGCCCCGATATCCATCTGGGACTCGCACAGTCTTAGGTGTAGTTCTCCTCTTAGACACTTTACCAGAGGAATGACAAAAGGGTCTTTGAAGCTGAGGCTAGCTGCAATTGTAAGCACTGGATCCAAGCAGCAGAACAAAGCTCCAAAGAGGATCATCTTTCCAATATGTGGCTCAACTGGTAATCGTGCTAAATGGACACCGAGCGGAGTCAGTTCTTCTTGTCTGTCCAAAGCATTCTGTCAGAAGAAGAAAGAGAAAAAAAACAGAACAAACACAGAATTTGAAACGGGGAGGATTTCCTTGAAATAGTCACTAGTACACCCAGAGCCCAAAGGAAAGCCTCGCAGCTGGAGGGCGCAGTAGTAAGGTCCGGCGGGGGAGAGATCAGGCAAGTTATGGAGAAACTGAAATGGTCAATCAGATCCACAGAAACAGCAACCATCTTTCATGGTGTGTCAAGTGGTTTACTAGGGCTCAGGCTCTGTCTGGACAAAACTATGAAGAATTATTAACACTGGAGTGTCTTCCTATTCTCCTGATCAAGCTCCTTTTTAGACTTGTATCTTACCCTCAGTATCACTCCTGTTTTCATTTCCTCTGCCGCTGTACAGCACTGCACAGACCACCAAATGTACAGCTGAATTTTATCTCAACATCTACAGGATCACACCACCACTCTAAATACTGCCCTTCATCTACATCAGATGTTCCCACTTACTGCTACAACCGATTGTACAAATAACACCAGGGCAAGGAGTCAGTAGTGCAAACGGGTCATTAACCTCTCCTTCCCCAGCATCCGCAGGGGCAACGACACGCGACATCTGTCTCCTACATGCCTTGTTTGCCCACCAAAAAGTAGCCCAAACTCTTCACTAATCTGACGGGGACAGGGAGGCTTGGCAGATGCAGCCACGAGCAGGGCAGTACAGAAGCAGCGAGCTAAATAACTATCTGCAGGGAACTGGAATGCAAGGTGCATGTGTGTGTTTTGAGCCATTTAGAAGGTTCCATGGGAATTACTCTACGCAGCCCATCAACATCAAGTATCATGTGAAATTATTTCCTCTGTTCAGTCAGGACATAATAAAGGATCTCCACAATACGATAAGGGGTTGCAAACCTCCAGACCTGTAGAATCAGAACTGTCTGGTAACAAACAACGCAGTAACGTGGCTCTAACCCAGATTTTTCCTGGCATGTACATTAAGCAATACTTTACCAGCTCCATTAGATGATTGATGGCCAGCATTACAGCATCACGAGATGGTGGATCCATTAGTTTGCTCAGAAAATAAGCAATTCCACCAAGCTTTAGAATCTGAAATGAAAAAAAAAAAACCCACATCAAAAACCTACAGCAATTGGAGAAAGCTGGCTACCTAAAATTAGTAAGCAGAGCCCACACCAATTAAAAAAAGTGTGAATAATTCACAGCTTGAGTTAGAATGTCACTAATTAAGAACTAAGCACAAAAATAAAAATGTATTAATGACGAAATGTGAGCAATTCACAGCTTGAGTTAGAATTTCACTAATTAAGAACTAAGGACAAAAATAAAAATGTATTAATGATGAAATCCGAACATAAAGATCTACTCTTCGTTCCGCATGCATACACATGGCATATAAACTGCTAAAAAGGAAACTCACGTCAGTTCTAAAACCACTTTTTAGTAAAATTCTTTTAAGACTTCATATCCTTGGACTCACTGACATTCTCACTGAATGAATGATATTGGGGGGGGGGGAGCACTGCCTAATTTTTTGTTAACAGACTTCAGCTTTTATTTACACCAGACAATCCTATTTTTCTGGGTTTGACGCATTGAGATACAAGCACGCATTCTGCGAAAGCTGCTGCAATTATCACCTAAGTATATTGTACTTCTGGTGCAACAGAATTTTGACTTCAAGACAACCCTAGCGGCATTAACTTAATCTCTCAACCTCTCACTCCACCGGAAAAGTAAACCACAAATACGTTTGAAGATTCGTGTGTTTACCTTGATTTGTAAGCAGAGCTCTTCCAAAGGCGTCCTCAAGATCTCCGGTAACTGGTAATCATCTAGCAGGCTAGCACGCAGCCCGTTGTACAGATGATAGCAGTGGCCTGGCTGAACTCTGGAATGATATAAATAAACAATTGTATTTTTCCCCCCATGACACTGTGATGTTATGATTGTGTTTGTTTATAAACAGCTTTCCAAAACACCTCAAGGGATTAGAACTGAAGTGTATTCTAACCATAAAAGCCATTTCAGCTTTCGGAAACACAGACCTGTCAGCAGGCAAAAGGCAGGCAGAACACAGAAACCTCCCACCAACGGCTCAAGAGAGCCATGAAGAGACCAGAGAACCGCAGGTCTGAACAAGAGAGAAAATACTGCACAAGGTATTTTGAGAGGGAGGGATATTTCAAAAAGCTCTGGTACACAGCCAAGTGATACTCATTTGACTGAATGTGTTTTAGCCTCATAGATCAGGCATGAAGGCAAACACTACCAACAAACATTTTAAAAAAGTGGGACTTATTCTGTAAGGAGTGGGGAGACTGGGAGGTAAATGCAGCACAAGCTAAGCCGGCTTCCTAGAAAGACAAGGAAACCAGCCTCTCCACAAGGGACCGCCGTGCTGGCATCTGCTGCCCAACACACCAGTGACAAAGCAGAACCTCCAGCAGGCAGGCGCTGGAAACTCAACCCCACAGAGCTTTTCCAGCCGTCCCCGTTATCCTTACCTTCCTGCCCGACCCTTCCTCTGCTTGGCATTAGCCTTGCTAACCCACTCTGCTGCCATTGTGCTGATGTTGTTCTGCGTGTCAAAGTGGGTTTCCTTTATTTTTCCACCATCTATAACGAACACGACGTCATCTATTGTAATGCTGTTTAAAACAGAGAGGAACAAAAGGAACTCTTCACCTTTGCAAGCCTGACTGGATGGGACAGGGGCTCAGCCTCTCTTTCCCCCCTCCCAAACTGTGAGCCAACAATAAAAGAAAGTATCTGCGTTTGGAATTTCATGAAGAATTAGGTTACTCAGCAGTTCAAGAGTGAGCTTGATTCACTCCCCTAGGCCTGGAAGAGGTCAGCACGTGGGGTTACGAAGCCTGCAGGGAGGACAGGCAGCTCGGATTTATCGTACAACCAGGCGGGTCGTTATAGTAACGGCCACGTTTTAATTGTTTAAAACAATGAAAGAAAAACTGTTCAGTCTATAAATATTTCTAAAGGTGAAGCGTTACAGGACACAAACATGAAAACATGCCTTTTTGGAAACACTGAACAGGTTTATATTTAAATTATCACTTGTTTGCTCTGTTAAATGTATAGCTTTTGGTGGTCCGTCGCTAGCTATTTACCTAGTCTCTGCAATGTTGGTAGCAATCACGATTTTCCTCACTCCTGGGGGGGTCTTCTTAAAAACCTGCAATTATCCATGGCCCATTTAGATGTTTGCCAGAAGCAAACACACACTTAATTCATTTTTTGTCTAGTTGTGAAATATGACAATGAAAGAAAAGCATACCTGAGTCTGGTTAACAGTAGGCATCAATGAATGTAAAGGTATGATAACAAACCTATCTGAAAATTTAAAAAAAAAAAAAAATCAGTGAAAAATATGGTGTAAGCACAGAAACTTTACTTTTACAGGAAAATCAACTACGCAGAATAGAGAAGATATGCTGCAAGTAACTCTGCTGTTTCTTACTCTGAATTCACAGGTATATGTATCATAATGGCAAAATCTAAACTAAAAAGGTACAACAGAATTTTTTTTTTTATTATGCTATGATGACTTGACAAGCTTAAGAAAAGATATGATGTCCAGTAATTTATATTTCATTTTTAAATTCTCAAAATGATTTAATAATTGGTCAAGTTTAATAAACAAACTGACATTCTCCTCAGTCTTTCGATAAATTGAAATTATTTATGGAATGCACACAGCAACTATTTGAACAGTCAAGGGCACAGCTAGATGAAAATATGAGTTATGCAAACAAGACAAATTCAAGTCTATCCAATACGCAGAGAGTATTTCAGTGTCCTATTAAAAAAAACCCTCTAGGAATAAACAGGATTTAAAAGAACTATCAGCAGTGCAGCAGACAGACGCTGCTGAAGAAGCAAGAGCAGAGGAAACGAACACAGAATGAGTCTGAGATTCCTTTTCAGACAGTTCACTCCTACACTGAGGAAAACGAGTTATTATCATTCGCAGCCGAAAGCTACCACAGAAATGCAAGAAACACTGACCACACTGCAGTCATTTTGAGAGGAGAGACAAGAAAAACAAAAGAAAATCCCGTGCAATACCAGCAATCCCATGCAAAAATCGTTTCCTGCTAGCACTACTGCTAGAATCCCCATGTAGAATTTTATTTTTACCTGACTTAAACATGACTTGTGACATCAAGAGATCGTGCAAAGTGCTAATGTTGTCCCAGCCTGGAAGAAACACTAGAATTGCACCATCCTATATAGGAGAGAGGGAGCGGAGGGAAGAGAGGTCAGAGTAAATCGCACGCTCTGCAAAGGACCAGCTGCTTGCACACCGATACATCTGCGTCGGGCAGGTGATATGTGAAACCTCACTGACTCAAACGTGGAACAGCTCGCAAGATGGTTTTCTACAAAAGCGTTAGCTACATGTATTCATCTGAGCGCAAGAAATAAAAATTTGATTTTAAACACTGTTCCCCTGCAGTGTTTTAAACACCGCGTCAACACCCAAACTTCAGCTGCAAATAAACCAGAGAGACAGTAAGGTATGATTTTCACCACAGGAAAACCAAAACATGCAACAGCAGCTCATCCTCAGTAGCCACAGCTTAAACGATGTATCCACTGAACTATTAGATTATTTAATATTTTTAATAAACAAAATTCTCTTTAAGGAATCAGCCAAGGTGTCAGCTCGTCCACAATGTTTTTGAACACACAAAATACGTAACTTCAGGTGATGACAACATACACACGTTACACCTACGGTAACAGGAGTTATTCTTCACTGTCACTGCTTCAGGTACAGGATCCTTCAGATGTTAATATTCTGACGATGTTATCGCTAACTAACAAGGTAAGGCACATTTGGAGGTAACTATCAGTGCAGTGGTGCTAGCTACCAATCTTGACAAGCCGAAAGCTGGAGGAGTCTCCTAGCCCTGGGTTTGGTAAACGTGACTAGACTTCTGCTAGGCTGTACAAAAATTCTGTCTTCACAGCATTTAAGTCCTGTGGAGGTTACTGGGGCAGAAAAACCGCTGAAGCCAACTGCACAGCGTGGACAGGAGGCAGTGAACACCAACTCTATTGCGTGTGCCCTCTCCCTCCCGTTGCTGAGGAACTAAGAACAGACATTCAGTTGTACACTCGAGAGGTCTTCAGACTGTTTTCTACAGCTGTTCCACAAAACGTAACTTCTACTACAGACGACCAAGACTACTACTTCTGACAAACAAGTACAGAAAGAAGTTAAAACTTAATTTGCAATTATATTCCTTTCCACCAAATAACTAAGGTGTAGACTTAATTTGAAAGCTTATTTAAAGCTTATCCAAAAGAAAAAAATGAAGCAATCTGAATCAGAACAGCACCCAAACCTTCAGGTACCTACCCCATTTCATTTGCGAGACAATCCCTACCGTCAGGGAAAGAATGCAGGCTCTTTTTCACCCCTTGCTCAGAAGGGACGATAAATGAGCACATCAAAAGCATTCCTACGTTTTCCAAGTTTCTATGTACACAGCTCTCGTTGATACCCACAACCCCTAGTCAAGAGAACACTGGGGTGTGTGCTCCCCTTTGCACACGGATTCTATCTCATTCAATACACACTGTAACTAACCACATTCTAAACTCAGGGCTTAATAGCAATTAAATATCCAAAGCTGCTAGATCGCTCCTGAGAAGAGCAAACCCGAAGATGACTACATCTGCACGATCAGGCAGCTGTCAGCGCTGACATTCCCAACAGCCACGGACCGCACTTCAGTCACACCATTAAAACGCGGCGACCAGAGACAGCAGCCTACCTCTTCTTCCAAAACGATGTGTCTGATAAGCGCTGCTATAAGGTCAAGGTCAACCTTGTCATCATCCATCATTTCCAAGGCATCTATAGTACTCGCCGAATACCTGCGGGCATTGGAAGCACACGCACTGGTAACTAACAACGCACAGTCACGCGCTGCTGCGGCTGGCGCGAGGCTCTGCGGCCTCACGCCTGTGTGCCCCCGGCTGACCAACGCGGTTCTTTGGCTGCTCAGCTCCTGCACTCCCAACACACTCCTGGGATTTAGTTTAGCGCGACCACTGTCAGTGTAGAACAGGAAGTTTAAGAGTCGCCATGTTATGCCCGAGCTGCGTTTGAAGCACTTGGATGGCCTCTCCCCCCGTCGAGGATTAGCTGGGACCTGAACTACCCGAGCTGACCCTTCAATTTCTCTCTCGCACGCAGTGAGCAGAGCAGGCATCTCATCTGGTCAGCCCTTTGATTTCATGAAAGCTAATGCTATGGAAAGAATTGCCAATCAGTTCCCAAGACGCGGTGGGAAAGGGAAGGAGTACAGATGGGATGCACAGAGCCCAGGATAGGTCAGTCAGAGATACCGCATTGAGGACTCTTCCCTTTGAAAAGAGAGAGATCACTCAGGCACCTCTATTCACTGTTGTTACCAAGCTGGATACATAGACAGTCCTGAAACGCAGAAGTCAAATAAGACAGGAGGAAAACAGGAGCGTGCTGTTCCTGAAATCAATCAGCCAGGCTACTCAGTTAATCCACTCACCCAGGTTCCCGACACAGTCAAACGCTGGCAATCAAAGGACTTTCAAGTGGACAACCTCTACTAGGTGCTCAAGAGGCTAAATTATTTAGCTTGGTTTTAAACCACTCTAGAGGAGTATCAAATTGTTCTGAGGAAAAGGTGGTGGTGGGTTTTTGTTTTGGTGGCGCTTTTTTGTTTGTGGTTTTGTTAGTTTGTTTGTTTGTTTGTTTGTTTGGGGGGGGGTGTTGGCTTTGTTAAAACCAGCACATTTTGTATTATGTCGATTATGAGACTAAAAAACTGTGAGATCTCTCTCAAGGAAAAAGACTGAAGAAGGGGAGAATTCATCAGAAGAGAACTAATGACCAAAGCTCAAGCAGCCTGACGTTACACTGGAGACTGTAAAGGACAACACTGCCATCCACAGCGAGCGACTCGGCAGCTCCACATTCTCTTATGGTTTGCACAGACGGAGCCAGCAAACCCTCTCTGACCCCTCTGAAGCACCCCAGTGCTGCCAGCCACCTGCACTGGCAATCCCATCGCTACCTTTCCTCAGCAGCAGCTACCACAGCACCGATAAAGCGCAGTAACAGAACACAGCACCAGGTTATGCTGCTCAGTTAAGACGCATCTAAAAACTTAACGCAAGAGTAACTCGAGAACAACCTGCCCCGCAGCTGCCTCAAGTAGTCTGGCCATCGTTCCCTGTAGATTTCCTCTTTTTCTTCTTTTTCTGGTCTGCTTACATGTCCTTGCATGAAGCCCTTCTTCCACCGCGGCCGACGGTCTGTGTTTTCCGGAGTGTACCTTGACATTTAAATAACAAACATGAAGCTGAAGTCATTTAAAGCCAGCTGCGTAGCAGTTTTCCGAACTATGGACAATATGTCACACTTCAGCTACACCACGTAAATCAGATTCTTGAATTTCCTTTCTGGAAGAAATCTTACTTATAAAAACAGGTACCATGTAAGCATGAGAACACACAGAAAAGAGCCTGAACAAACAGAAAGAACAGCTTGATTTTGTAGCCTGAAAATTCACCACACCAAAAGACAGACAAGGCTTTTTTAACTCCTCAAGCCAAACATTTCCAGATAGCTGTCTGCCACTGGGAAAACTACTAAACCTCCCTCGAAAGGCTTCCTGTTGAAAAACACAGCTAATTCTTCCCCAGGTTATTTATACCAAGATAATCTTTGAAAAGACCTACTAAGCAAAACCCCCGAAACACTCTTTATAATGGTGTTCAGAAAATACACTTACCTCAACTTCTCAATTACATCTTCAAGAAGATATTCCACCACGGGGAACGTGAAGCCAGGTATGTGAATCATTGGGCAATTATCTGTCGATGAAGGCACAACTCAGGTTTTAATCAGCAAACAGAATACTGTACTGAAATAGTAGAGGCAATTAACATTCTTCACTGTTTTTGCAATACAGCTGCCAAGTCTATAAGGTTTTTCTGTTTGTTTATTTTAGAATTCTCACAGAAGATGCCAAATTCAATTCCAAATAAAGCTGCTGAATAAAAAAGCATAGGTAGCAAGCAGTATATCGCTCTCCAGCATTCTCATCGGGTTCCAGATATGCGATAAAGCTGGAAGACTGAACAACTGAAGGCTTCAATCTGCTTGCCCACTTACACCAAGACTTCTAAAATATGGTAAATATTAGTAAATATTTAATATGAAAACACTCTGGAGATACTGTTTCCATAACATGTCTGAAAAGCAAAAACAGAAGCAACACATGCTCATGAGGAGACAAAGTAAGGGAATAACATCTCCAGCAGCTGGCAACTATTTGTAAAACTGAAGTCATTACCTCTTTTGATAAAAATCAATCCTGAAATTTCAGAACGGCATTAGACTGTAGAAGCCCAAATTACTCAAGAGGAACATTCATAGGAAGCATTTCACCTACCAAAATACTCCGAAAACTTCTCTGCATTTAAAGTAGCACTCATTAGTATTACTTTCAGATCCAAACGAATATTCAAAAGATCTTTAATGATGCTCATTAAAACATCTGATTGAAGGTTTCGTTCATGAATTTCATCAAGGACTACATGACTAATGCTGGACAAGTGCCTAAAACAGAAGAGCAGGAAGTTAAAACATTTGTTTTTAACAGAACTTAAAAACCAAAGCCAAGACTGTTACAAACAGCTCAGTGGACAAGTAATTTCATAATTGTATTCAGTTTCTTACTAAATGGGAAAACTTACTTATCTGACTGGAGCCACTGTAGGACAATTCCTGTGGTACAGTATAAAATCGAACCTTGTTTCCGTGGTAACCGACTGAAAGAGACACATTAAGAATTCCTCAGTTCTCTGTATTTTACAAAGTAAATTTTTTTTTTTAATGCTTTAAAATCTAAAATTTAAAAGCTTAAAAAAAAATCCAAATGCAGCTAGTCATTACAGACAGGCTGAAGGGTGCCTCATTCGCTGACCGGCTCACCCCCAGTCCGGCTGGAGGAACAAGGAATGAGGCCACAGCCGCAGCATTTCTGTGACGGGGAGTGACCCACTTGTAACCTGACAGAAGCCCCGACTCCCCACACATCGTTTCTCACCATTTGCACGTCCATCTGCTGACCCCAAATGCTGGCAGCCGCCTAAGCTCAGCACAGGCGACAGCTAACTACAGCAGTGGGACGTTCTTGATTCAATAGTAAAGGAAAATACACAGATGAGATTCTATACACTCCAATTAAAATGTTGAAAGGACCAAGCTGTCATCTCTCACCAGCAGTTCATCCTCAGCGATAACTGAGATTCCATTATCTGCTGGTAACGTTTCAGGTGGTTTTTTTAAATTAGAGATGGCTCCAGTGTAACAGCTTTTGCTCTATGGCTCTAGGTCTATGAACTCTTGCCCATGCACCTAACTGTATCACCTGATCCCAGTGGGATTACTCAACAGATGAGTCTAGCAAATGCATAATTTTCCCCAGAAATACGGCTTACAGCATTCTCTCCTTTAGCATTTCCATTTTTGCTTGAAACTCATGGATTGGGGACATCAGTTTTATCTCTACCTATAGCAGAACCTTTTAGAAGAGCTGAAAAAAGGACTTTTAAGAAAAAAATACAACTTGGTGGCAGCCACTGTTAGATGTTGCATAAAATAAGATAATTGCACTCAAACGTTTTGCTAAATCTCAAAAACCTTACTCCTCAGGTCATAGGAATTCCTTCTCGAGAAAATATCAGAATGAAAGCAGTCATCCACGGTAACAACTACTTTTCAAGGCTTGCTTGAACAGCAACAGAGGCTGCTTGACACGAACGCACAAAAACTGCCCAGGGAGCCCGTCCTACCTCTGCAGACGGATTTGGTATCCTGTACTCTTGCCATTACCACATGCTTCTGCCCTTTCAGCAGCAACTCTCTCAGCCACCTTAGAAAAAGAAAGAAAATCAAAATAGTGCCTTAAAACCCCCAATAATTAGAATATCCCACAAGGCTGACGTACAGTTCAGCCACTCGTCAGTGGGAAATACCTAGAACCACGATGTTTGGCAAATAAGAAACACACCCCCTGAAAATCACTTTTTTATCCTCCACCGAGAGCAGCGTTTCCTGTCAGCAACCACAAGCAGGTCTGCGACCCAGGACGCGGTATGAGGAACGCAGCCCTCGAGGCATCAGCAGTACACCCGCCCCTTCAGGGGGGCGAGCTTTTCCTGATGGGAGGGAAGGTTCTGTATCCATTTGATACGTAACTATCAAGAAGAGCAATAACCAGTGGGCACTTCAAAGCCGAACTCTTTCTTGCTCATTAACACACCTCTGAAGGGCCTGGCACAACAGTAAGTGCTTCACTCCCACCTGCACTGCCCAAACCTGTTCAAGTGACAGACATAACCCACGACTACATTCAGGGAAGACTGAAGCTTGCAGTGCCAGAGCTCCATCAATGACCAAAACTTATGAAGTATCAAATTAGTGTGTATTAACAAAATTGTATGTGCAACAGAATCGAAGACGACTGTAAAGACACACACACAAAGCCACCTTCACTGCCCGCTACAGGCTGAATGATTGTCCTGGGCCTCAAATCCAGCAGGAGGGCACGTGACAGCAGAGCAGTTTCTTCGGGAGGTGCACAGCACCCATCCGGTCACTCGGAATTTTTTCAGATCTTAACTTCAAATAACCTGGCAGGTCGTACACCCAGCTCGTAAGCCTGCCCATGCACCCCAGGCCCAGTAAGAATTATGTTTTGATTCCGAGTAAGGCAGTACTTTTCCCCCAGATTTATTAGGGAAAAAAAGCAATCGGAAGAAATAAGTTACTCAGTGTGTCAACACGGCACCTACCGAGATAGCACTGATCCTCCGAGGCTGAGTACAAACAATCCTGCACGTAGACCCCTTCCCTCGCTCTATATAGTCATCCAAGATGAACTGGGTAACTTGGGTTGTCTTCCCACAGCCAGTTTCCCCACTTATCACTGTTACTCGATTATTGTTTATGAGGTTCACAAGCTCCTGTTTCCACACAAAGAGAAAACGTTTATTGCACTACTGCTCAAACCAGATTTTAGAAGGATTTTGACAATCCTCTGCCCCTGTGTGGTGAAGTTAGAAGACAGTATCATAGCAACTAAAGAAACAGACACGCACCTGCTTCTGGTAATACTAAAAAAAAAAAAGCTTAAAAAAAGTTTAAACCACCCAGAAGTAATTTCTGCACATTTGCACTTCACATGTGTAAGGTTTAAAGCATATCAAGTCTGAACAGTAGTTTTACATACTTAAGATGCTCTATCAAAACAACAGAAAATAATGAAAATGAAAGCCTGAAATACATTTTTCTAAACGTTTCTCCCTCCTGCTTGCCCTTCTGTGTATCTTTGGTGACCAGAAAGAAGCGTTTTCCCTGTTGGACTCCAAGACTGTACAAACTGAAGACTTGCAGCGCAATATTTTAACATTTCTTACACCGACAGGAACAGACTTCTTACACTGCCACCCTCCACCTCCCACCCCGAAGGGCTGCAAAGGGGAGTGTAATGGTTTTAACAGACACACGCTAACAGAAGGACCACGTTATGACAACACATTAACTTCAGAAAGGAAGCTCACTAATCATTCATTGAACCTGCAAGAGAAAACATAACCCAATACTCAATTTCTGTTTGATACAGGCAACATCAAATGAAGAATTAGCACCAATTAATCATGACCCATACTATCACTAATGTTAGACTTTGACTGGGACCCTGATGGCAATAACAGCCAGCAGTACAGCCGTTAAGTCTGTGATTAAAAGAGAAAAGATTTAACTGGCACTATATTCAATTCTAAGTTGGGCAAATGTTCAACAAATGGCCTTAATTTTTTGTATAGACATATATATACACACATATATATACACACATATATATATATAGATATGAAAAAGAATGCATGATAATTTACATAGTGGTCAATTGCTCTATACAAAATCCGGGAAACTAGGAATATTTTACAAGTTTAACTGGCAGAGAAAGAAGAAAAGACCTATACTTAAAAAAAAAAAGGCACTTAAATATCTCTACCATCCAATACCATTTTCATGAATACAACTGCCCCTACTGATAAAAACATATACAGCCCCGAGTCATTTCATCCTGAAGCAGTGAACCTGAGCTACTTTCTGGGAAGAAGTCAAACCCAGTGTCAGAACTTGGGAGGCTTCAGCACCTTCATAAAAGGCAACAGAGGTTTCCTTAGTCCCAGGTACACAACTGTTCCCTCCTATTTTACACCAAAGCAACAGAAACAGATATTCTTTCAAATTAAATACACATTTACCTGTCTCATCCCATATGAGGGGAGTTTCTCTCTGAACCTCTGGGGAAAAAGAAAACAACAGTGCGTTATCTTTAAACAGCTGAAGTACAGAACAGATTTCATCTATCGCCTAGGCTAGACTGCAAAATGACCCGACAAACTATTCGGCTAACACCTATGTAAACACAGGACCACTAGAAATAAGTTTAATTCCACGCATGTCTTCAGTTTCATTAAACTTAGCAAAATAATTTAAATCCAACAGTTCAGTACCCGCAGAGGTAGGCACGCAGAGCTGCAAGCCCAGGGCCCGGTATCAGAGGGAGAACCGCCTGCTCACGGTAAGGCCGTTTGGTTTGACAGCCTTACACACGGCCGCTGGAACAGCAGAAACTGCCTTTTTCAGAGGCAGTTCCTTCAGAGCCCGTTTTTGTGCTTTCAGTTTTAGGACATAAATGCAGGGATACTGTCTGTTAAACAACAGAAAACCCCACCCAGCTAAACTATGTGTAAGCTTAAAATTTTCGGGTTTAAGCAATCACGAATTGTCACTGAAAGGCTGTCTTATCATTGCTGTCCTATTGACAGGCACGTGTTTTGCGAATTCTGAAGGTAACTGTCAGCCAAAGCAACATTATGACAACTTCCCAGTAAATAAACTGCAAGAAGTAAAGTTTTCAGGTTTAATTAAAACGACAACAAAAAAATCCAATTAAAAGCTTTCTACTTAACGCATGGAAAAGTACCTGCATTTCAACATATCTGGGATCAGATTTCTTCTTTCTTAAGTCTTCTTTAAGTTGCTCATCTAAATCAGTATCCTGCTCATTGTTTTCAAAGAGATATTCCACATCCCGGTCAAGAAAAGTTTTTTCCAAGACTGGCCTCTGTCTTACAGGAGCTTTCTCAGCATCTGGCTTCACTTTTGCAGGCTGTTCAGGAGTAGGTCTGAAATGAGGGCAGAGAACAGAAACTTCAAAGATTATCCACGACATGCTGGGCCACTGTGAAGAGCAAGTTGAACTGTCCAGGGCAAACCTTACATCTGCTTTTGAGACATGCCATCCGTGAGTCACCTGCCCCCAGCCAATGAGAGTATGGCGTATGCCATTAAAGCAATAAAAGTCTGAAAATCACCAGCCATCAACGGTTTTACATCAGCATCTAGAAACATAACATGCTCTTTTCTGCCAAACAAAGCAAGAGAACATCTCCAGAGAACTATTGCCTAACCTGCTGTCAGAAACCCTGCCCTGTAACCGGGTCACTCGCTCAAAGAGACCCAAACACCTCATTTCAGCGGGCTCTGAGTAACACACCCGGCTGCCCATTTCACTGCTGTTATTTGAAATCCTTTGAGTGTTAAGAATGGACCTGATTTCACAGAGGCTGAGAAAACATTCCAAGACTGCACAATAACTGAAAAATGAAGTCAAACGCCACCTCTGGAAGAGTAATTCCAGAGGCCAGGGGAGCTGAAAAATTCCCTGTATCTACTCTAGTAAGTCTAAGGACCCATTACAGGATATTAAGTGAAAATTTAACACCCCAAGCTCAACAATAATCTGGAGAAGAGTTTTATGGCAACAGTTACAACTGCTTCACTACGACAACACGTGCAAAAAAACTGAGTCTATCTGCTAACTTAATTCACTCATGGAATTTACACATCTTCTGATGTATCTTCCTGCCCGTTTGTGCAAAGTTTCATAGAATCATTAAGGTTGGAAGAGACCTCTGAGATCATCAGGTCCAACTGTCACCCTAACACCCCCATGCTCATCAAATCATGTCCCAAAGTGCCACATCAACATGTTTTTTGAACACCTCCAGGGAAGGCGACTCCACCACTTCCCTGGGCACCCTGTTCCAGTGCTCTTGACCGCTCTTGTCAGTAAAGAAATCTCTCCTGATGTCCAGTCTAAAGTAAGCGTGTTCAATTCAAATTAGATAAAAGCATCGGTAGCTGTTTCTCCTCACCCTTCTTCATCCCCAGACCACCAGGACATGGCTTCCTGCTCCTTTTCATTTTTAGTTTGGACAGTATTCAACAGCTGCACAATTTGCTCTTCCCTGCGTTCATCCATGCGCACAACTGCTCGCTAGCGGGGAAAACAAGCAAAAACAAGGATCATTTTCACCAACACGCTATTTTATTATTAACACACACGAAACCAGCGCAGGCATCAGCCGCCCCTCACGAGTCGTTCCGACAGACCCACCTTCCTCACC